TTATTTCGGCAGTGCGTAATTTTTCGGCCTAATTTCGCCTAGCGCGAATTTTGGATGTAAGTAAGCGACAAATCCGCTCTTCCCCTTCTCAGCTGCCATAAAATGTAATTCACGTCTTCTAACCGCACAATCTCGATCTTGCCGCATAAATCCCTTGAATCACTTAAACAGCTGCTCTATAATAAGCCGCAGCAGGGTTCCTGCTACACCATAGATCAATCCGATCGATCTTATTGTCTATTTCACAGAATATATTCGCAAAAAGACCGTTACGACGGGTTATTTATGGCCCCGGCGATGTTTTTCTCTCTCATTAGCATGGAACACTCCGTATGTTGCTCCGATCGATATTCACTCTTCGTCATGAAGCAATAACATTTTTATGTAGCGGCTTATTTTTCAACATCACGAAATTTCCTGCGCCAGTCATAACACGGCTGAGTAATTACGGCCGCTAATCTCCCGATTTTCTAGTCTTGCGAGACAATATTTATTTTATTTTGGGTAAACAGAGCCGGGGATCTTACAGAAATAGTATTTTCGTGGGTAACATGAGAGGGATGTGTCAAGAGGATGGGTTTTATTGACCAAAACACTCGCGTGGACGTTACTTATTGTTATTTCCTAGTTTATTTTTGGTTAAAATTCTAAAGTTACGGCGTGAACTTTCAACGGTTCCGTTACTTTTATCTAAAAATAAAGATGTATTATTTATGGCGGTAATAAATTCTTGATTTATTTTGGAGGAGGCATTGTGGATGGCATTCCAGATGGTGGAGCCGATTTTTTGCAAATGTGGCTACTTGTTTCTTGTATTTTCAATTTATATGTCTTCGCGTTAAAAATTCTGCCACTTTGCTTAACTGGTTTTCCATTTTCGAGTGGTGACATCACTTCTTTGATGGGATCGTAAGACCAAAGCAACATTTTTGCAAACACAAATCTCTGACCTTTATTTGAAATTTGACCTTTATCATGTTACTGTTACGCCAACTCGAAAGAAATTAAAGTTGTATAAAACACAGACGGACGGACGTTTATTTATGAATAAAAAGATAAAGATATACAATTTCTTTATTTATAGATTTCTCAGTTTTCGATACAACATTTTTACCATTCAAATTTTTGACGTTTCTAAATTTTCGATTTTCGATTTTGAGACTTTTGAATGTTTCAATATTTTAATTTTTCAGTTTCTCGTTTGTTCGATTTTTCACTTTTTCGATTTTTAATGTTTAGATGTTTAAATTTTTTCATGTTTTGACTTCCCGATCTTTAAATTTTGCCACTTCTTGGTTTTAGATTTTTAGGTTTTTCAATTTTGTTTATTTTAAAAATCTTTGATTTTTTGATTTTTCAGTTTTACGATTTTTAAATTTTTTAGTTTTCCGATTTTTCGAATCATCGATATTTCAAGATTTCGATTATTAATTCGATTGTTCAGTTTACCATTTTTTTAATTTTTGAATTTTGGGATATTTCGATTTTTTGACTTTTCAATTTTTCGATTTCTCGATATTTTCATGTTTGGATTTCTCGATGTGTCAATTTTTCTATATTGCGTTTTTCGATGTTGTAGTTTTTCAAATCTTCGTTTTACAAATTTTCAATTTCTACCTTTTAAAATTTTCGATGATAGGATTTTTCGATTTCACGGTTTTTCCTTTCTTGGGATTTTTGATTTTTCGATTTTCGAGTTTCTTGATGTTACAATTTTTCAACTTTCCGATTTAAAATTTTTCAACTTTTCGATTTCCTGATGTTTCAATTTCTCAATTTTTCGATATTTTAATTTTCCAATTTCTGGATATTTCGATTTTTTAGTTTTCCGATTTTTAATATTTTTAAATTTTAGGGTTTTCAATTTTTCGACTTCCCGGTTTTAGATTTTCAGGGTTTTCAATTTCTCTATTTTAAAAAATTTTAACTTTTTTGATTTTTCAATTTTTCACTTTTTTGATCTTTCAGTTTTTCGATTTCACGGTATACCGATATTTCCACTGCCTGATTACTCAATTTCTCGATTCTTCAATTTTTCGATTTTTTAATTTTTCAATTATTTAATTGTTGATTTTTTGATTTTTTGATATTATAATTTCTTGATATTCCAGTTTTAGGATTTTTCAATTTTTCAATTTTTTTTAACTGTTGATTTTTCCATTGCTCCATTTTTCAATTTTTCGATTTTTTGATGTCGATTTCTAGATGTTTGGATTTTTCGATTTCTTGTTGTTTCGAACTTCAATTCAATTTTCCAGTTTTTCGATGTTACGATTTTTTAATTTTCGATTAAATTTTTCAGTTTTGCGATTTTAAATTTTTCAATTTTTCGATTTTTTGAGGTTTCTATTTTTCAATTTTTCAATTTTTCGATATTTTAATTTTTCAATTTCTCGATTGTCCAATTTTTTAGTTCAATTTTTTATATGTTTAAATTCCGGATTTTTCAATTTTTTGATATTTCGATTTGTCGATATTTCAGTTTTCCAACTCTCGGTTTTCAATCTCTGCATTTTTAAAATGTTTGATTTTTGATTTTTCAATTTTTCGAATTTTCACGTTTTCAATTTTTCATTTTTTTCACTTTTTGAGTTCTGGATTCATCCATATTTCGAGATTTCAATTATTCGATTGTTCAGTTTTCCGATGTTTTGATTTGTCGATTTTTCGATTTACATGTCAATTTTAAATTATAAATTTTGTAACTTTTCATTTTTTAATTTTTTTAGTTTTGGGCTATTTCGATTTCTAGATGATTCAATTTTTCGATGTTTCGACTTTTCGGCTTGTCGATTTTTCGAAATTGCGTTTTTCGATGTTGGAGTTTTTCATTTTTTTCATTAAAAAACTTTCGATGGAATTTTTTAATTTTTCGCTTTTAAAGTTTTCAGTTGTCGAATTTTTTGATGTTTCAGTTTGTCGATTTCTCGATCTTTTCATGTTTAGATTTCTAGATCTTTCTTTCCATGTCTAGATTTCTTGATATTTCAATTTTTCGATTTCTTGGTTTTTCGAACTTTCGTCTTTTTGATTTTCCAATTTTTTTGTTTTTCGATGTTACGATTTTTGAATTTTTCGATTTCAAATTTTTCAATTTTTGATTTTTCGATATTCTACTTTTCCAATTTCTCGATAATCAAATTTAAACAGTTTTTCGATTTCTTATATTTTCAAAATTTAGATTTTTCAATTTTTTGTTTTTCAAGTGGCTCTTTCGATGGAAAGAAAATTTTCCATCTTCTCGATTTTACAATTTTAGGCTTTTCAACCTTTCGATTTTTAAAATGTCTGATTTTTTGATTTTTAAAATGTTCGATATTTCACGTTTTTAATTTGTAGATTTTTGGATTTATCGATTTTTTAAATTATAAATTTTGTAATTTTTCAATTTTTAATTTTTTCAGTGTTGGGCTATTTCGCTTTCTGGATATTTCGATTTTTCAATTTTTCAATTTTTCAATTTCCCGGTTATTCGATTTTTCGGCTTGTCGATTTTTCGAAATTGCGTTTTTCGATGTTGCGGTTTTTCAAATTTTCCATACAAAATTTTTCAATTTTTCCCTTGTATATTTTTCAATCTTCCAATATTTTGATATTTCGATTTTTAGATTTTTTCGTGTTTAGATTTTACGATATTTCAATTTTTCGATGTTTCGATTTCTTGATCTTCCAATTTTACTACTTCTCGGTTTTAGATCTTTGGGTTTTCAGTTTTTCCGTTTTAAACATTTTTATTTTTTCGATGATTTTAAAATTTTGCAGTTTTTCTATTTATCGAGATTTCGCCATTTCGATTACTCGATTATTCGTTCAATTTCTCGATTTTTTAATTTTTCAATTTTTTAAATTATGTTTTTTTTAATATTTCAGTTTTTAATTTTTCGATTTTGGGCTATTTAGATCTTTTCACGTTTAGATTTCTCGATTTTTCGATTTTGCACTTTCCGAATTTTCGATTTTCCGATTTTTCAATGTTACGATTATTTTATTGTTTTACATTGGTCGAAATGCGATAGATAATTGTAAGACAAGCTATAGATTTTGAACTTTTATTTCTCTCCTTATATGAATATCAAATTTTGTAATCGTCTCTTAAACATATTACAGATGTCTTCATTCATATACATGAAATCTAATGATACCAGAAATAAATTAATAACGTCCAAAACGACAATTAGTTTAACTATTCGGAGCTTTTATCTTGGTTTTTAAATTAGGTAATTAAGACCAAAATGAGAGTTTCCCTCAAATTAACCAAATAGTCTTAATGAAGGGGTTTTGTATAATATTCTTATTCGTTTGTACCCATTTTAAATGAGAATCTGATGCTTAAAGCAGTTAAAGTACTCATTAAATTCCATAAATCTCAATTTTCCGTCAAGCTAAAAATAGACTTTTTCATTAAAAGCAATATTTCGACCATAATTCACATGTGATAAAACATGCATGCGTTTTTTCCAAACGTTTTTAGCCAAAAAACATTTCTTTTTAGCTCCGGAAAGCGCTTTACCAAATTCAAATGCCGACCCCGAACGAAATAGAAAGTCCCGATTTAAATATTTCACGAACTCCTTGAATAAAGTTCTTTAACATAAACACATCTCCAACAGCCGACACAATTTACCGAAGTCAAACAGAATTTCCTCTCAGCTTCGATCAAAAATATATTAGAAGGGACAAAAACCGTCTTATTTCCGGCTTAATTAAAAGAGCAATCAGGCAATGACTACTTCATCGGTGTAATACAGCTCCCATTAATTAACTCGGCATCTGTTTTTCAGCACTTTGCCTGTAAATTGGGAGCTTTCAAGAACCCTCGGCACTGTTTTGCTGACCTGAAACTCGGCGATGTAATGCGTTTAGCTTGTACTTGGAGAGTTTAGCGGATATTTGTATAGTTAGTTTATTAGGTCAAACGGCGTTTCGTGCACCGAAATTAATTCGCCTATGGCCGGATGGAAATTGTTTCACCTGGTAATTATTATAATCGATTGTTGCAGCTAACTTGGAGAATACGAAAAACGACATAGCCCTCTACATCGGCGTGACCGTGGGCATTTTCGTCGTCTCGCTGCTGTCCTTCTTCCTCACGAGGATGTACTGGAAGAAGAACAGACACCAGAGTCTATATAATATGGCTTCTAATGGTAAGTGTTGCTTAACTGAATAATAACGTCACCGATAAAAATATCACTATCAGAAATTAGGAATAACAACAGACTTAAATTAAATCCTCGGTAAAGTTTAGGCGCACGCTGTTTTTCCGTACAAGTCTGATGGCCAGTTTTAAATATTTTATCACTTGTTTGCCAAACAATTATTAACTTGTTCGTAAAAGCGAGACTGTTTCTACAAAGTCATTATTATTTCATTACCGTGTTAAACATACAGAGTGTCTATAAATGATTGTCACAGCTGGAAATTTAAATCTGATTTAATTCGCCGTTAACTTACAGTAAGATTCACTACCTGTCATAAACTGGCATGTAACGTCAGTTTGATTAAAGTTTTATTGTGTTCTACCAAGCTCTAAAATCAGCCACTTAACTATTGAAGTACTGAATAATTTTTTAAGATAGCAAGATCGTTGCGAAAGCTACATAAAAAATGATCATCACAACCTCTCCTTTTGACGTTTTTATGTTCCAGTTTCTATTAATTTATTGAAGTTTGGCGATTAAATTTTGGGTGAACTTGAAGGTGTGACGTTAGTTTGAAAAGGGTTGAAATAGTAAAATGTATATTGTCGCTCACAAATATTAGAAATATTACAAAATATAAACTGAAATCATCAAATAAATATTCATATTTTTCACGTATGTCTAAACTTTGGTACTTTATAGTTTATAGTTTGTCTCAGATCAAATGAACCTGGTTATTTTCATGTTTTCTTAACGTTTCATAACCGCTAGAATACGAAAAAATTGGTCTCCTGTTTCCCTTCATCTGTCGTCTGTCTATCTGTGTCTATTTTTATTCGACAAATAGGTTTCGAAACTACTAGACAAATTGTTGGCAAATTATGTATGTATCCTCCAAAATTTAGCTAATCAACCTCATCAACCCCTTCAAAATTTATTTTAGTAAAAGTCATTTAAATTTTGTAAAATAACATACTCCTCTATACGTGTGGTTTATGAATCCGCCTTGATTTTTTCTTATATTACGACTCTTATTATGTATTTTTAATTTATAAGGGTTATCAGAAAAGAAAAAAAAAGCTTTAGACCAATTTTTGTTTTGCACTCTTTACACAGTTCTATCCATTCTTGTGAAATCACGTATAGGGTATCTCATCTAAACCCTACCCCCCCTCAGACCGTTCTCTAAGTTTGTGTTTTATAAAAAACTACTGAAATTTGGATACATATCTGTGGTCCATAAGAAGTAAGTGAAGTATTTAAGACAAATAGTAACATGTAGAGAAATAAGGATTTTGTAATCAAGTTCCACTCCCTTCGTTCACGACGAAAAAAAAAAATCATCACAATTGAGGTAGGGCGGGTGGGAGGGGCTACATTTTGCCTTTTTTTTCTTAATATGTGTAATCATCTTTTCACAACAAGAAACTTTCACAATTTGTATAAGGAAATATCGATTTTGCAATTACGCTCCGCCCCTCGGTCTGACAACGAGTGAAAAATTCATCACAATTGAAAGCGAGACGTACGGGTGGGGCTTCCCTTTTGGTTTTCTTTTCTAATTAATACATTTAGTTTTCTTTGTATAACACTATTAGTTAAGAACAAATTTCACATTGTAATTTCTCGTAAAAAAATAAGGATTTTACAATTAAGCTCCGCCCCTTGACTTACGACTAATAAAAAAAATTATCAGAATTGAGATAGGGCGGGTGGGCGGGGCTTGTATTTTGCCTTTTTTCTTAATATATATAGCCAATAGCCATATTTTCACAACAAGAAACTTAAAACCTGGTTAAAATGGTACTTTTTCTAATTAATACATTTAGTTTTCTTTGTATAACACTATTAGTTAAGAACAAATTTCACATTGTAATTTCTCGTAGAAAAATAAGGATTTTACAATTAAGCCCCGCCCCTTGACTTACGACTAATAAAAAAAATTATCAGAATTGAGATAGGGCGGGGCTTGTATTTTGCTTTTTTCTTAATATATATATAGCCAATAGCCATATTTTCACAACAAGAAACTTAAAACCTGGTTAAAATGGTACTTTTTCTAATTAATACATTTAGTTTTCTTTGTATAACACTATTAGTTAAGAACAAATTTCACATTGTAATTTCTTGTAGAAAAATAAGGATTTTACAATTAAGCTCCGCCCCTTGACTTACGACTAATAAAAAAAATTATCAGAATTGAGATAGGGCGGGGCTTGTATTTTGCCTTTTTTCTTAATATATATAGCCAATAGCCATATTTTCACAACAAGAAACTTAAAACCTGGTTAAAATGGTACAATGGTACTTTTTCTAATTAATACATTTAGTTTTCTTTGTATAACACTATTAGTTAAGAACAAATTTCACATTGTAATTTCTTGTAGAAAAATAAGGATTTTACAATTAAGCTCCGCCCCTTGACTTACGACTAATAAAAAAAATTATCAGAATTGAGATAGGGCGGGGCTTGTATTTTGCCTTTTTTCTTAATATATATAGCCAATGGCCATATTTTCACAACAAGAAACTTAAAACCTGGTTAAAATGGTACTTTTTTGCAAGGAAATATGGATTTTACAAGTATGGGGCGGAGCCTAATTGCAAAATCGATATTTCTTTATACAAATTTTCCATTTTAAACATGTTTTAAGTTTCATGTTATGAAAAGAAGTTTACACATATTAAAACAAAAGGCAGAATGTAAGCCCGCCCACTCGCCCTGTCTAAATTGTAATTATTTTTTTTATTCGCTGTGAATCAAGGGAGCGGAGCTTAACTGCAAAATACTTATTTCTTTACTAGAAATTAAAAACATGTTTTTGAGTGTCGTCTTTTACAAAGAATACTATGTACATTAAAAAAAAAATCTAAATGTAGACCCTGCCCATCCAACCCATCTCAATTGTGATATTTTTTTTTTATTCTTAGAAAATTAAAACACGTCTAAAATGGTAAATTTTTGTAAGGAAATATGGATTTTGCAATTAGGCTCCGCCCATAGGTCTGCCAACGAATGAAAACTTCATTACTACTTTCTTAGATTAGGGCAGATATGGGTTGGGTTTAATCTTTGGCTTTATATTTTTCTTAATATACGATACTCAAAAACATGTTTTTAATTTCTCGTATAGAAATGGCCCACGACGAATAAAAAAACTCATCACAATTGAGATAGGGCGGGTGGGCGGGGCTACAATTTGACTTTTGTTCTTAATATGTGTAGACTTATTTCGACAACAAGAAACTTAAAACATGCAAAACATGTAATTTTTTGTAATAATTCACTTAAATCCGCCACTTTTCTCCTACAAGTCGTTCCTGGAATCTAGTCATTTTATTATCATATTTTTTCCATATTATTGTATTCACTATTCCAACATCCGTTTGCTTTGTTCATTGAATTCTGGTACTTTCATCAGTTTTCCTTCGTTGTCTCGCTCTTTGTTACGATTAAGAATACTTTATTTATTTTCGCCCAACTTTTTTTTTCTCATCTCCTCCCTCTTTTATACTTGCCCACTTTTTTCAGTCAGTATTCTTTCATCTATTACTTTGTACTTGATACAGTTCTACTTCGTTAGGCGAATTCTACTTTAGTTGTTATCTGATCTTTTTGTTCCAACAACCCTGACATGACCTGACTTGACCTAACCTGATTACGCAACTGATGAATTTTTGACCTGACCAGACCAGACCATACCAAACTTGACTTAATTTGACCTGACCTGACCTGATCTGACATGACCTGACCAAACTTGACCTAACCTGATTACCCAACTGATGAATTTTTTACCTGACCAGACCAGACCATACCAAACTTGACTTAACCTGACCTGACCTGGCCTGATTACTCAGTTGATGAATTTTTGACCTTTTTATTACAATTTTTGTTTTTCTTTTTCGATTTTTGATCTTCATAACTTGCATTTTTTATTTTTGTTTACAAGCAACGAAGTATATTTGTTGTTTCAAACCTTTTAGTACAATTTTAGGAAAACACTAAATGAAAACTAGTAAAAACTAGTCACTTAACATTCTTGTGAAAAATATAAATAGATAATTTGAACACTTACCTACGTCTTAGTCTTCTTTTTTTATGAAGAATTCACAAGAATGATAATCTTAGTACAAAACAACCAGCTAGAAATATGTACATCAATTATTATCCATGTGCGATTAGTCAAAGATTAGAAAAACATACGAATACTGAATACACTTTTTGAAACATTTTTTCTCATTGTAATTAAAGTCATTTGAGTAATTCAGATCACATTAGTTCAAAAATGTTTGACTTTTTCTTGACACACAGTATATTGCAACGCCCATTATAAATAAATTTTATTAGTTTATTTTATTAAATTAGAAAAAAACTTTTCGAAATCTGCACAAAAAAAAGCTTCGTCCTGCTTCCTCCCCCACATGTGTTTAAACAAAACCAACATGAGACTAAAACGCAACTTCATTGTAGTACAACATCATTGATAAAAATCACGAACAGCAAGGAACCCAAATTAGACCCCTGACACATACCAATAAAGCATCACATACATAAAATCTTCAGCTTTACGACTGGCCTTTGATCTACTAAAAACCGGCTTGGCAAAATTTCACACTATTTAACGCTTGTGCCACATCCGTGCATATTAACACGTACTAACTAACTCTTAACTGAAACCCCGTCAAATTCCCCCACATGAAAATCGCCCAGACGACTCAAACCACACAACACGACCGATATAACATGGCTTCTAATGGTAAGATCGTATCTGATATTTTTTTATCGGTACTAGGACATGTTTGCGGGTCACAGCACGACGAAAAGCAAATAACTCGATTGACCTTTTTCTGGTCTGGAGAAGTGAAATAAGAAAACAGATGAAAATCAAATAAAGGAGGCAAATCAAATCGAAACCTATGTTTACGTAATCGATTCACACGCACGCACGGGACGCACTCGGACTCGCACAATACACCGCTGAAAATATTCCTGAAAGGGATCTATTGGCAGCTGAAAAATTCCGATCAATTCGCGGATTGTTGATATTTGAATACTGAATCCTGTGAGGTGAGTTTCCAAATCAACGAATTTGAAGGAATTTACCCAGGGGTTATAGAAACCTAACGCCGTCTAGACAATAATTGATGAAAACTGAAACGATTAAGTCTAATTCTAATAAGGTAATATATGTACTAAATTATTTCAGTGAACTTTTGAAGCATCCAGATTAACGGTTCGGCTCAGAATTATCATGACAATCTACACTACTAAATTCAGATAAGTGTGCTGTGGACTGAAAAAGCGAGCTCGTTTTTGGTCACTCATTATTTTTATTACAATTATAACAGACAAATGAAAAACAAAAAACCAGTGTGTGTCTCACATTTTACTACACAACAGTAAAGACGGTGAAATTTCATATTCAGACAATATTCTAATAAAGTTAAATCAAAAGTCGTCTCAGACCCATTTAATGAAACAGAGGGACAAAAACTACTTTATAAAATAAATATAAAATAAAAATTTTCCAGCCCAAAAGCGAGAACACCTACCTGGAACGTAAATATTTCGACACATCCACCTCCAAAGCTGCGTTGAAACAAATATAACCCAATTTCGCCCAATCAGATTCAATAATTAATAGCAAAAATCGTGTCGACAGAAACGACATCATTACTCCATCAAAACTCTTTAAATTTAAATCATTACACCAGCGCATCGGTATTCTCTTTGTAAGCACATGTGGTTTTCATTTGGAGCATCGTTAAAAAGCCCATAAAACCTTAAGTATTTCTTTAATTGAGCGTCCACTTATTTATCATATTTTTTTAATTAGCGTAGTTTAAGAATATATTCGTACGCTTTTCGAGCCTCCTGGCGTTATTTATGTCCCTGATGGACTGTTATTAAATCATTTATACGGTTCGTTGATTATTTATAGAGTTATCCGGTATTAGACAGATGTTCGTGTGAATTTTGATCGTAAAGAATGGCTTTTGGGACACATGGTCTTCGTTATGTGTCGAATGCGTTGCGGTAATTTACCTAAATGACAAAATGATGGAGCGGTGTCGAGCTAGGGGGCACGCTGAGAGCAGGGGACATCATTTTTCAAAAGAAAAGAAAGATTTTTTTAAGACTGTGCTAAGTGTGGCGTAATTTGTATTTGTCATATTTTTGTCACTAAATATGAGACTCAACTTTTATCAGCTTTTTATTTTAGTTGCCATAACGATTAATTAAATGCGTGGCACTTCATCTTCAAGAAAATAAAAAGGCGGAGAGTAGCTAATGTTACCAAATCAAGTACTCATCCTCTTAAAAAATTGGATGACGTCACTTGCCGACTAAATTCTAGATAAAGTATTGTGAGTCTAAACCCTTTAGATCGATGTTTTCGCATTCATGATATTCTTCACTGGTCGTTGTTTTTTCTAAGTCATCAAGTGACAAACCAAGTTCAAGAGAACGCTCATTTTCCACACACATTCTAGGAATGAATCAAATTGCTCCTAATTAGTGGCAAGGGACTTCTTCACTAACGATTCCCAAATTAATTACCGGTTCTAATTTTAGCCAACCGATTGGCATCTGTGTGTAACCCGAACCCTAATTTTATATTTAACCGACATGAAGTTCGGTCAACAATTATGGTAATTATTCACCTCTCTGTAACCATTTAGTCGTACAAAGCCCTCACGTATCAGCTCCATTCGATCCGGCACATTTCGATAATTTTAGAAATGCCGCCAAAACAGTCCATTCATTCGAGGAAGACATTAAATGCTCCCACAATTAGCAGATACCGGCTTTGTATCATTAATAATAGGCGCAAAACCGGCATGATGAATGAAGTTGGAATACAATAAGTCATCGGACTTAGAACGATCTATCATCGTAAGATGCGCCAATTTCTCCACGTCGCTAATCCGCTAGAACGAAAACAGAAGCACACATAAATAGACGGCTAACCGAAAAGAGAAAAAACGATGAGTGGAGGGAATTTAAATGGGGGGTCGGCGACGTTAAAATAGTTCTAGAGTTACAATTTAGACATCTTTAAGATTAACGATGTTTCCAAATCGTCGATTTTACGACTGCTGCTCTAGGAGAGTGCTCACATGTTTTCGAATGTCAGAGAGAGTCGAGAGCAAACATGGGTACACTTAATGGCTTATTTTACCATGAAGCATATCGCCGAAAATAGCTATTGATGGTGCCGACAGAGGTTGGACCCATAGGCATACAATAATGTAATTACAAAGTTCACAGAGTTTTAAAAACGGTAATTTTCGAGCCGCGTTTCACACGGTTTTGCCGACAATGTAATAATTCAGGTTTAGGTGATGATAAGTGGTTTCCTAAGTGGTGCAGTTTTTCCAATAAAGTTATTTTTTAAATAACAGGGTAATCGTCGTATTTTAAATTTTTCAGAAAAAAAGTTCCTATCTAGCTAAGTAAATGGTGCGCCGCCGCTGATCTCTGAAAAGTGAATCCTCAACTCGCCAACACTCTAAAAAACAATCCCGACCTAATCGACATTCTTTAAATTAATGTCACTAATAACGCTTTTAATGACCCAAATGCGCACGGTTATAAATTGATAGCAGAAATTACCTTGCTCGATGTCGCTAATAAAAGCCCACGCGGGCAATTTTCACTTAAGAAAAGTCGCCTTAAAACCACCCATTTATGATTATCGCCTCACTAAAACATCCTCTAAATTTGCAATAAACTCAACACAAAGTAACTCGCTTCGAATACGTAATAGAGTGGAGCTACTCGGAAAAAAACATTTTATAACCAAAACCTCCACTTATTAAAGTCGTAAATGTTTCAGATTACCATCCGGAGTTTTTCCCGGAGCACGATAAGAAGTCATTAAGCCTCCAGCCAGACTTGACTCAAACGGTCCCGCCGTGCTATGAATACCCCTACACCACACCAGCGACATCTGTGACCAGGTCAGTGTCCGAGCATCACTACGATGTGCCCCATCTGACGTCCGGAAGCGACATCCAGATGTCACCGGCTACGAGCTCGACGTTGGAGTCGTCGAGTGGGAAGAGGAGCCAGTTGAGTGGCTTCACAAACAATTGTGAGTTGATGGATAATACCAGATCTATACCACTGTCAGTTATTGTTAAAAGTAAACGTTGTGGTCTTTCCAAGGCGAGTACGTCGTAGCGCCATCTACTAGAGAAGGTTATATACACCGAGGTTTAGTTCTCAGCTTTAATGTAAAATAAACAACAACCTGTAGCACAAGTTAAGGGTGCTAATTGATTTGATATTTTGGCGGTAGATGCTACTTTGTAAGATACTTTATAATCCTAGTACATACAGGTGGTTCAGGACTCTACATATACAATTATTCTACAAATATAAATTCTTATGTTGGATCCGTTTTCTAATCATTAAAAATAGGTGTCAAATTTCGGTGCTAAATAATAATTAATAATTGTTGGAAATGACGTCATTGGCTTTTTAGTAGGGGTGTTGATTGTTGTAACAATAATAATAATCAATACTGTGTTCAAAGACAAAGATAAAAATGATGTTCGAATTTTGGCATTGTGATTCAAGTTTGGTGTTTACGAATTGTATTTCAGTTCTATGTCAAGTGCACTAAGTAAAAAATGTGGCAATAAAATGTTAGTTGTTGTCTTTTTTTTGGACTTTATTAATTTAATTATAACGGCGAACTGAACAAATATAAATATAAGTTACATATTGATTTGGTACTTTTTATTTTCGATCCTTATATGGAGCACAATGATGACTTGAATGCTTCTTAACAAGTCAACAAATTTAATGATGTTGAAGCCACTTGAAAAAAGGCACATTACTCGATTATTATACGAGAAGCTTCGACTTTTTTCAGACGCGAATAGAAAGATAAAAAAATGCGCTAACAATGGCAAAGAAAAAGAGAAAATTTTTAAAAGATGTGTAAATATCTTTTGAACAGGACTTTATTATTTGCATTGAATTCTATACCTCCCACATCTCTGAATAAACAAGCATTCATTGCTGCATTGTAAGACTCTATTGATTTTTAACTTTTTTTTTGTTGTTTAATGATTTTAATCATGTACATAATTATATAAATAACGATGCCTTTTATATTGTTCAGGTCAAACAAATTTTAGTTTCTATTATCTCTGCACCTATGCATCCCATGTTAATTTACAGAATGTTCTTTTAGCTTGGAATTAATGCTTGCAAAAGTAGGGCTTGATTTATAATAATAATAAGACTTTTGGTCCACAATACCATTATTCCACTTGATGAGATAATACATGATACATGTACTTTTTAGAGTTGTGATAACCCAAATATCCCGCCTTAAATTGCCATGTGAAAAAAATTGTTAAAGTCCGCGAAAAATTTAAAAAATCAAAATTTGGCCTTGGCTGTGATCGTCTAACAAAATGGCACCCTACGTTGTGTTTTTGAAAAAAGGTGGGATGCGTTCAGATGCAAATGGTGGACCCCAAGGTTCGAAAAGAACCGCTAAATAATAACACAAAATTTATGGAGGACACAAAATTATTTATTCCTCCACTGACAAAAAAAAAAGCTGCGTGAGAGGGGGCGGAATCTCAGTCGGTGTTCAGCTCCAAAAAAAAAACTTATTGAACTTTGGATGAAATTTAAATGAAATCAAATTAAACGTTCTGAATGAATGCAAATATTTGAATATCACACATTTAATAAAAACAAATAAAAATCTGAATTAAAGTAACTGGATGCAAATACACAAGTTATTATTGACGCATACGTCGCCATAGCGGCAAATTTAAAATTATGGCAGTCAACAAGAGCACAACAAAAATAGCGTTTCGGTGATGTAATTTTTAGCGTTGCGAGGAAATGCCTCGGTGATGTAATGGTAATAACAATGATAATTGCCTAACGGAAGAAATTATTTTAACCCTCACCCCAGTTCGCGATATAATGAATTTTGTTAATTTAGCTGCCGTAAATGAACTATTAGCCAATATTGTATGAAGAATTAAGAAGTGTTATAATATAACACTTACGTATTAGCATCCAGAAACTTATTCATTACTTGTAAACAAAGGGTATTATCCTGACTAAGTGAATTTCATGAAATGTCCTAGTAAATGTCTGTTACATTATGTTAGAACCAGTTAACTATTAAAATCCTAACCTGATCGGTGAATTTACAAATAACAAAACAAATTTACAGCACGTGTAGCGACGGTTGAAAATTAGCACTTTTTCCGATTAGAAAGCCGCAACAATTATCTGCGCATATTGGGAAAAACTGTAATGTCATCGATACGATTAATTGTTGTTAAACAAAGGCTTCCTCCCTTTTATTAACTACCAAGCCAACTAATTTAACCTAGCTAACCTACAGCGTCCTCTTCACCATGCTTTTCACCATGCCGCTATCTTGTCTACTACTACCGCCCTCTAACTAACAATCCCCTAGTGAGCTACCAACTACCCCCAAGCGCCAACGTGCACATGGTTGCCTATGTTTAACGATTTTTTCATTATTATTTTTCTCAAATTCAAATTATTTCATCGTGAAAATTTGATTCAAATTCGGCCACTAGAACGTTAAATTTCAGAGTTGTCACAAACTCGCTGTTTTTATTTATACTTTTTTTTTTGTTTTTTATTATGCCGGGTATCTGGAAAGTGCGGAGTAACTCTTCAGTACGTTATGTCGGGAGTCCCAAAAAAATATTTAAAAAAAGCTGTTAGTTTTCATTAATAAATAAACCAAAAAAAAGAACATTTAATAAGACATATAAATCATAAACAAAAACAAAACCAACAAAAGAAAAATTCATTAGTACTTGGTAAGATAAAACTGATTTTGGCACTAGGTGCTAAGATAAGATTAATTTTGGCAAATTAGATACCCTCCAAGAAAGAGAGGGCGGGTGGGCGGGACTAGTACCTGCTAATCTAAAACAGATTTGGCGAATGACATATCTTCTAAGAAAATAGAGGGTGGGTGGGCGATACTAATAGTTCCTAGAATAAGACCGATTTTGGAAAATGACATGACGGTTTCATTTCTTCGATAACCCTTACCACTTTCTAGAATCGTGGCGCCAATTTTAAGATTAAAAATATACATATTTCAACGCAAATATTTCCAAAATCTCGGTCTGGATTCTGGATTTTTAGCCAATTTTTAGAAAGCTCAATTTTTAATACTCTTTCATTATGAAAATTTCGACCCTCGTAAGTTATTTCGGCCTCATTTCTCAATCAGTCGTCCATTGAAATACTGAAATTTTTAAAATTTAAATAATACAACTTTGAAATTTCGGGTGTAAGATGTGTAAATCCTCCTCCACCAGTCAGTAGTTTCCGAACTAATTTTCTAATAAACTGCCAACAAAAGACAGACGATAGACGAGGAAAACGATGGATCTACTTTTTCATATTCTAAGGGCCATGAAACGTCGAGAAAACATGAAATTAGCAGTTCGACAAATGGAACATGTTACAATGTTTCCGTAGTTTAAGCTAAATTTGGATCATCAAATTTTAGAATCCTCTTTACGTAAGGTAACAGTGTTTTTCGAAATATTTTAACGATATACTAATGTTGCATCTTGTAATTCTAAAATTAAATAATTCATTCATGTACTCAAAAAAATGATGTCATCAAAAAAATTGTTCAATCAGAGATTGCATTTCAAATTAGTTTTCAAAAATCTGTCACTACATTTTTATTAAATATACAGGGTGATTCAAAGCACTACTGCTTAATTTTAATGGCGAATTATATGGCAAAAAATAAATACAAAGTTCAAGTAAAATTATGATCATTTCTCAAAAATAGAGATGGTACAGAATTTTTAAATTTTGTTATACTACTTTCCACCATCTTTAAGTTTATTAGCAATAAATTGCTTGACATTTTGAAAAACAAAAAAAAAACTTACAAAAAAATACTCAAATGATGATGAAATGCCCATTTAGTATAGTTTATGAATCACTTGTATTAAATTACCCACTTTGGAAAGACCATTAACAATTTTAAATATAACACATCAGTCCAAGCATCCCTAATCGTTATCTTTCCAGCTGACTCCACGTACGAAGTGGCCACAGAATCCGTCACCTTACCGCTCCCCAACTTGCCGGCGGCCTACGCCGTAACCCCAACCACCAGCGGAAACTACACCAGCACAACAGTGACGCACAGCGGCGCATTCCTCAACCTCATCGACTCCGGCGTGAGCCTCATAATCCCCGAAGGCGCCATCTCGCGCACCAGAAAGCAAGAACTATTCCTGTCCATACTCAACGAAGACTGTTTCCGACCGAAACTCGCCGAGAACCTCACCCAACTCAGCCCCGTAGTTTCCTGCGGCCCCAACGTTTCTTTAAACAAGTCCGTCATCCTCAAAGTCCCGCATTGTGCAGAGCTCACCCGAAACAACTGGTCGATTTCGGTCCTCCAGAGCGACTGCAGCGACTCGCAGTGGCAGAACGCCGTAACTCTGGGCCAAGAAACCATCAACACTTCCGTCTTCTGTCAACTGGACAAAGAAGCGGTCTACTTGGTGACCGACTGCTTGTCTCGGTTCGTCGTGGTGGGCCAGTCGACGACGGGAAACGCGCTGAAGAGGCTGAAACTTGCGGTTTTCGGGCCCAAGTTGTGTTTTCAGAGTTCTGTAGATTATAGCGTTAGGGTGTATGTTTTGGAAGACACGGATAGCTCTTTGGAGACGGTGTATGGGCAAGAGAAGCGTCTGGGAGGGTACTTGTTGGATGAACCACGGTCTATTGCGTTCCAGGATGGCGGGAACAATCTTTGTTTGAGCTTGGATGGGTTGAGTGAAGGGTGGAAGTGTAAACCTTGCTCTAACTATCAAGAGATCCCGTTTAAGCACTTGTGGCAAGCCAATAGTAATAGTTTGCACTGTTCGTTCACTCTAGAATGGTATGAAATTAATAGAAGTTTAAGTTTCAAAATTCGGGTCAACCAGAAGGGTTTCGAGTACCACCAGATCTTCGATATTGTCTGTAGAGACGACACTGACGTTTCTGTTGGGAAGAGTAGCTCAGGGAAGCTACACCACGGTGAATTGGTGCCAAAATTGACCATACAAAGTGAAAACAACCGATCGGGCGAGACCAAAAGGCTCGTCGACCATGGGCATTCTTCGAAAAGTGCCAAAAGCCATAAGTCCGACGAAATTAAACTAGCCAAGAATTTAATAGTAACTGATAGAGGTGTATCTACATGTGATGACTTTAACTTTAGATTAAGTAGGCAGATTAAGAAGCAGCTTTGTCAATGTTTAGATCCTCCGACCCCCAGAGGGAACGACTGGAGGATGTTAGCTCACGCTTTAAATGTTGATAGGTATATTAACTTCTTCGCAACGAAACCTTCACCTACCGACTGTATACTGGACCTGTGGGAAGCCAGGCACAGACAAAGCAACGCCTTGACCGAGCTTAAACAAATATTTACCGAAATGGAAAGATACGATGCTGTGACGATTTTAGATAATTGTTTGGGACCTAACTGGTTATAAATATTCCATTGTTGCTGCATTTATTTTTTTCAAAATTGGACTGAATTGGTCGTTTTATTCGAAGTTTTGTGCTTTCTTTGCCGTTGGCTTTGTGGTTGTAAAATTATTAGATTTATGTAAATTATAAAATTATTTTATAAGTTGTTGAAAATGGTGAAGATGTCTTAGGTAGACGCAAAAAACGGACCACGTTCCAGAATTGAAACTGTGCAATTGGTTGTAGATATTTACTTTGCTGAAAACAGCCAACGAATATTTTCAACGTAATTTAGTCTTTACTGATTCATAATAGTAGGTACAACAAGACACTGCCCAGATATAGTGAAACTATACAAATACTGTAATTTTGGTTTTTATTTGCTTCGAGTTGGAAATATTCGTTCACTTGTTACCTAAGCACCAGATAATCGAGATGTTTAGTCTATCGTAAATATAGTTAAGTACATACGTATGACATTAAAAAGGCATAATGTGGAGAGAAACGAAATATAATGTAGAGTTTTATACAGAAAAATCAAAAGTAGTTTTCTAGATATTTTAGGATGTTTTGTACAAAGTAACATTCATGTAACTAGAGGCAGGTCTACGTTGATATCTAGTATGTATTTTAGAATATATAATGATGTATATAGTCAATATATGACATTTTTTAAACACAGGCATTATTTTTTCACAACCTTTATCAAAAATACATTCCAAAATCACGGTGAGTGTATTTATCTCTAAGCTAATAAAATGAAATTGATTGTTAAAAAATTGGCCCACGTTTGATCCTTACAACAGGATTCTGAAAGAGAATTATTTTGGTTTCCGTCTTGAATAAGTTTCTCTAGACACAGGTGTTGAACCTTAATAAGGTGACAGTTCGTTTATACAGTGAGCAAAATATTCTTTGATTGCAAGAAAAATGATAAAATTCACTATTGATAAGAAATATGGAATGGATTCTACAATGACAAAATTTTTACTAAGTAAGTTGTGTTGCAAACTGCATATGAAGTAATAACGCACTATTGATTTTTTCTACAAACTGTAGCGCCATCTGTACTTCAATAACGAAACTATTCGATACAAGTTTCCTTCTTGTTGTCCGGCCATGGTGTGGTTCTCTGCGTACAGATGGCAGAAAATGCTAAAAGTTGTTTCCCTTTACACACATCTTTTTCTCACATTTTCGCCATTAGGTACATTTTTTAAACACAGTAAAATTATGACCTGTATATATTTTTTTAATTCTATGTTCGCTACAACGGTAATTACGAACATTTAACTACTGACATTAAATCCGAAGCAAAAACTGGTGATAACCGCGAAAGTTTAATACAAAAATATGTTTTACTTTATTCTAGCAACAATAACTACGACTCCATTTCTAAATTTCTGCAATTTTGAAAAAAGTCAGATTTTCTAAAGTCAAAATTATGCTTAGTAACGAGTCGCCGATGCAAATGATTTCTTTCATTATTGACATTATTCACAGACGTTGCATTTGTTTGAGGTGATATGTCATAATATCTGCAAGTTATTGGACCTAGTTGTAATTTATGTTATTTTTTCTCGACGTTTCATGGTCTCTATAGTACGAAAACGTAGGTCGCGCGTTTTCGTCTGTCTGTAGGGGTTAGTCTGTGGTCTGTAGTCTGTCAGTGAAATGACGTCATCTCCAAAACTTCTAAGAGTAAATATTATTGAATTTTATAAAATTAAATACTCCTGCACTTGTGGTTTTTGAATCTGCGTTGAGTTTTTATTGTTTAAAATGCCAGGTAATTATTAATGATTGAAAAAAATGTTTGTGTTGGCAATTCTGAATTATTGGCAGCACTGCTAGTTGTCAATTTGAACATGAGAGCGCCTAACAAACATATTAAAGTCACTACATATATATATCTAGTGACTTTAATGTTGAGCTTTTGGTGTTTTATTTTTTACGAATTTCGAAGTCTTTTTTTAATTTGGAAAACTTTGGCCACCCACGGTGTATTATTTTGGGGGAGCCCATGAAGATTTTTTGTAAATTACTTAAAACAATTTTGGGTAACTTTGGTGTTCTTTTTTTGGAAAATTCTGACTTGACCTGTTTTTGAGTTAATTTTGAGACTCCGTTTTTTTTTTGTTTTTTTGAAAAATTTAAAACAATCTTGAGGTTCTAGGTATTCCTGTTTGGAAAAAATTTGAAAGTACTTTGGACCCTCTAGTGTCTTTTCTTATGATAATTTAATTAAATTTCTTAGAGGATACGTCATTTGCTAAAATCAGTCTTATCTTAGCAGGTACTAGCCCCAACCCTCTCTTTTCTTAGAAGGTATGTCAGTTGCCAAAATCGGTTTTATTTTAGCAGCTACTAGCCCCGCCCACCCGCCCTCTCTTTTCTTAGAGGGTATGTCATTTACCAAAATCAGTTTTATCTTAGCAAATACGAATGACTAACTTTTACAAAAAAATGATGAAAATTTGGAAACATTACGAGCTTACTTATGTGCACAAGGCAGGAATTTGTTGTTAGTTTTCTAATTGGTTACGCTTTAATGGATTTTTCTTTTGTTGGTTTTGTTTTTGTTATATTATAAATGTCTTATTAAATTTTTTTTTTTGGTTTATTTACTAATGAAAAATAACATCTTGTTTTATTAATAATAATGCACAACGATTAATAACTAACGGTTGTTACGTCTTGTCCTAAAAAAATAAAAAGTGGATTTCAGTCACCATCGTTACTAAGAAATTAAAAAGCAAACCGGAGGTATATTAGGTGAGCGCAGCGTTACGAATTTTACGTTTATAAAATAACGTTTTTTTTTCGTAATCTAGATCATAAAGAGTGTTTTAATTATTTTTTTGGGACTCCCGAAACCCTCGTACATAACGTACTGAAGAGTCTTCCAGACACCCAGTATTGAAGACGTTAGCTTTTTTTTTTCAAAGCACAAAAAATAAGTCATAGCATTCATAATTAAATAAAAATAAAACACATTTGACTAACTGTGACTTAACTTCGAAGTGTTTCTTTGTATTTTGACGGTATTTCAAACAAGATTTTTTTTTTAAATAGTATTGATTATATGTATGATTTGCTTAAGTTTGACGTAAAGGGAAGCACTGGAAACAAAAACAAAACTGTAGTTCAGTTTTTTATATAAATGTCACTGCTACTACCAAAAATTAAAGTTAAACTAATTAAACTACTCCTCGACTACACCATACGTCTTTCACATCTTTTGTTTCCAAAGCTCCCTTTAGGTCCAATTTCAAAAATTCTACGGTATATGCTTCCAAATTTATTAAAGTATTGTTGGTTGCATATGATGATTTTTTCAACTGAACACCCTATTATGTTTCTAGTCTCTTACAGTCACAACTTACCATACAATCCATAGATACTTTTAAGATAATTAAAAACGACTATGTCAAGGGTGGCAAATATTTTTTCCTGTAGTAAGAATCAGAAAAGAGGTATGTGGCACATTCAGTTATTGTTTTAACACTAACAACACCCTTTTATTAAAAAAGAAAGAGTATTTTATTATTTAAATTTTATGACTTCTATATTTTAACGAAAATCTTTTATGAAAATCTGTTATGAAAGAACAAAAATGGCGGATGCGCCAGGCAAAGTAGGTCATGAGATGAAAAATTAAACCTCTTGAAATGCAAATGAACATCAATACTTAGAGATCCAAAATAGTATTTAAATTTAGTGTCATATGGTGCAGATTTTGACCTCCACTCATAACTTTTGTAATTCCTTGAAGCCACATTAAAATAATATAAGCACAAAAACTGCAATAAAAATAAATTGCCAATAATAGCGTATCATTGGTTATCAATTCCACTAACACAAAAAAATATCACTCGTAGGGTGTTTTAAGATAAAAGTGATATAATTGCATTGGCGAAGCTCCTGGGAACAAGAGATATTTTCCGTAGCCAACTAGATTATCACTCGGGAAAGCTGATAAACGAAATACAATTTTGAAAACTATGTGGAAAATGTCAGAAGAGCGATATATAATATTTGATTACGAAGAGGGTCGCTAAGCTGATTTAACCGATTTTAGTTCTAAAGCGCCCTGCGTGGAGAGGTCTGTCTATACTTTTTAAATAACACCCAATAAATGACGTCAGCGAGCATATAGCCATTCGGCAACCCCCAGAATATGGCTGACAGTGTCTTGGCTTGGCCCGACCGAATTATTACCCATTAGGCTGTGTGCTAATTTTCACTTTGAGGGTGAAGGGCGGTTTCTTCCGAACGAAGACAAGCAGATCATATGCAAACTAAACGTTAATGACGTCATGTCAAAAAATCATTAGAAGCAGGATAAGCATGCGACTTAAGTTCGATTTAAGTAAATTAGTTACAATGCGAAATTAATCAGTTCTAATCACGGTCCAGATTAAACGTAAGCTCGTAATTTATCGTTCTGTGTTAAAATAAAAAAATATGTTCCGCAGTAAACCCCAGCATACCTACTTTTGCATTATTGGCTCACAGCCATCGGGTGCTCCATTCTGGTGCCGATACTGTCGAGCATACTGAAACTGAACCGCGAGGCGTTGAAGAAAATCCGATTCTGTTATCTTTTTTGCCATTCGTGATTATGGCGGCTCCCCCGGTCACCCATAAATTACTCTCCAACTTCAAGTTGATTTCAACCGCAAGTTAAGTCAGACTTGCACCACACAATTTATTACTTCTCTTTTCTCTAAACTCCGAGATTTTCTCGACGACCTCGCAGACAAACAACCTATCCTGAAAAATACAAGATAGCGAGATTTCGTCGCCAATTTTACGGTTTCGCTTTTAATTGGTCGTAAAAAAATACAGCGACTTCTCGCATTGGCGAAGCTGTTGCAGATAAACTTTGAAACGGGCTTTCGCGAATTGTAAAGCGTGCGTGGATGTAGGCCTTCGACGGGTGGAGCGGCGTTCCCTTGGGGGTTGAATATCGAAGGTGGCGATCGCAATCCTATTACGGGAGTAGATGGACATCCAGTTACTTTATGAGCTGTCATATTGGCGAAGTTGCCTCGGGGTCGTTTCATGATATATGTGTCTGTGATGGGTTTTCTGGGACAATGTTGCATTTGAGGGGATCGGGCTTAATTTGAGGGCGGGGGCGACTTTAAAAAAGTAGAACTCTGAGAAATGTTATAACGTAGGCCTATATTATACATTAATATACAGGATGTGTCAATAATATAGAATTATTTAGTGTTTTGTAGCGAAAATTGTGTTATAATTATGGCATCCAACTGACACAAGACATTTTGTTACGATTTAGATTTATTTTTTATTTTACTTTCATATTTTCTCAATGCGTCATGACCTCTAGAGTACGAAAAAATAGGTCCCCCGTTTCCTTCTGTCTGTCTGTGTGTCTGTCTGTCTGCGTCGACGTTTTATTCAGATCACATAGCAAAATTGCAAAGCATCGATTTAGTAATTTTTAGTAAGTCAATTTTGTCATGAAAACTATCAATATTTTGTGCAGAGTATAAGATAATTGTTGTAATCTTTTGAGGTGGTAATGATAAATTTTCGAAATTTTCCACATTTTCAAAGTAAATGGACAAGATTGAAATAGATCGCAAACTTCGCCCTACACAAATGTACTATAAAAAAAAATCACTTT